TTACATTTACTTTTGCAAAACGCTGCTCCCAAAATTTCCTAACTTTTTCAATGAATTCCATGACTTCCCCTGAGTTTCCGGGTCTTCACTGAAAAAAAGTTTTCTTGAAATATTATTTTGGCTTAAAACGCCGTTTCTTGTCAACAAAAGGATTTTTTGAGTTTGAAAAATAGATCGATAAGGAAAACCTCTTCTCGACTCAAAAAAACTGATTTTAAGTTGAATCCGCACGGATTTTACTCAAAACCCGACTTTTGCGGACAAAAAACGAGGCTTCGAGTCAGAATAATATCTCAAGAACAATTTTTTTCAGTGTTCCAGACCGCCAAAAATCCTGGTATATCAAGATTAAGGAAAAATGCGGTCATCCTATCGGAATTTTTCATCGGTTCACACATCGCGCGCAACGCACACAGGAAAAAAAACACATTGGATCTAGAGTCCAGACTCTTGAAAACATTGACAAGAAAAAATACTCTTGATTCAATTAGATTTAAGCTTAATCAAAAGGAAATCCGCTCAAATGAAGAAGCTTGGTTCTTGATTTAAGCTTAAATCTGATTGAATCAAGAGTATTTTTTCTTGTCGATGTTTTTAAGAGTCTGGACTCTAGATCCGATGTGGTTTTTTTTTTTCCAGTACATCGTATTCGCGAGCTGGAATGCCAGAAATCCGGCGGCGTTGGAATACCATAGCGAATGAACGACTGGTAATACATGCAACGAGGAGGAAAGAGGAAGAGAGCCAAGACGTAAAATCAGGCGTACATGATTCCACTTCGGCTCCACGCTGCACTGCAAACTGCAATACTATCTGCTGCACAGATGCAGTATGCATTTTCAGCGCCGCCGCGAGGTGGAAGATGCCCCAGAAGACTCGAGTCCTCAACTTCGCACAGCGTTCACCTCCGCCACTGAAAAGGGGCCCCCATCATCGTTACTCATAGCCGCGGGCAGACACTCTGCCAAAGGCTCGACTAGAAACAGCAGTCATTGTGCTGCCGTGCTGAAGAAAAACGCTGTGTGAGCCTTCAGATGTTGCCATATTTAGTTCAATAAAAGTCAAATTTACCGGGAAAATTGTGAATATTTTCCCCCAAATTTTTCAGACAATTTTGTGAGCGATTCAATCTAAAATATCTGAAAACCTCAAGGAAAACTAAGCAAAATTTTCTTCACAAAAACATGTTTCATTCGAGGAAAATTGGCGACTCTCGGATGTTCATACGGTGTTCTTCCTTCGCACGGCAGTGCGGCGCGGCACAAGCACTTGCATTTTGCACGCTGTTGAAAAATGGGGAAGAGCTTCAACCCGAGAAATAGAATGGACTACATTTTGCGATGCGGAACTACTATTTTCGGGCCATTTTAGAAAGAGGGTGTGTGCAGTGAGTTACCCTATGCAGATATGTGTTTTTATTATGAGGCACAAATGGTAGTTTCTTAATACAAAATGCTGTCTATACGTCAGACACGTGGCCAGGATTTTGTTTCTCNGGGGGGGGGGGGGGGGGGGGGGGTGTGTGTGTATGTGTGTGTGTCTTACTCTCTAGGGCGACGGATAAGTAAAAAACACAAGAAAAACGGGGAACCAAGGCTAAAAACAACAAAACATAAACAGGGTGTCTAGTATTTTTTAATTTTGAAAATTCCTGATATTTTCCTGGTTTTTCTCCACTCCTGGCACGGTAGGCAAAAAGCAGTAAGACTTTCTCCGCTGAGGAGATTCGCGTAAGAAAACTTCCTGATAAAAGTCCGATTTTTCTGATATTTTCCTGATTTTTTCCTGATCGGCCAAAATTCCTGATATTTTCCGGTTTCTCCGGTTTTTCCTGATGCTAGACACCCTGAAAAATCTGGAGCGACAGGTAAGTACAACGACAAAGTTTGGCACTATCGGGCCGAGTAACTATATATCTCATTGAAATGCCGAGCTTCCGACTTCCACAAAACGAATAAAATGCTGTTTCATCCATTCATTCAATGCCAGTTCACCTTTCTGCGATGAGTTTTCCGCAAGATAATTATTTCATTCTTTTAGCCGCGCCAATCTCTCGCGAGGAAAAACAATTGTTTGGAAAAATTATGTCTATTGTTGTTGCAGCCCTCGAATTATCAAAGCGCCAGGTCGTGAGCAAGCTAGGCGTTAATAGCCACTCCTTCGAGCTTCTCTTCGTCTGGACGATACTGTGCTGTACTGTGCAGCATCATTGAGATACTCGCNGGGGGGGGGGGGGGGGGGGGTGCCCCGCAGTCTTCACAATGGGATAAGTCACGACGACCCCCCTCTCTTCTTTTAGTCTCGGATATTATGCCCCCCTTGGGAGGGAAGGGGGGGACGTGGGTCAAGTTGTATCACCTTGTGAAGGACTCGGAATTCGTGGTGGAAGAGAGAAATGCTGCCACGGCACAGTGGAACACATTTTGTCGGCGATGGCTGTTTGAAACAAGTTCAGGATCAGGGAACAAGAACACTCAGAGTAGACTGATAATGAGTCTGGAAGTATACTAAGGGACTGCACTGGAAAAAAAAATACATTGGATCTAGAGTCCAGACTCTTGAAACCATTAACAAGAAAAAATACTCTTGATTCAATCGGATTATTGCTCAAATCAAAACGAAATCCGGTTAAATTAAGAGGCTTGGTTCTTGATTTAAGCTAGATTCTGATTGAGTCAAGAGAACTTTTTCTTGTCGATGTTTTCAAGAGTCTGGACTCTAGATCCAATGTGTTTTTTTTCCAGTGTGGAGAGAGTTTGTCTTTCTGAGAGTGTCTGGTCTTCCTCGTACCATTTCCTCACCAAGGGAGAAATACGGTGACATGAGAAGAACAGCTGCCCCAGAGGCAGACGATGCATCTTCTAAGCACTGGCGCTCCGATTAATGAAAATGTTGCCATAGAATTTAGAAAATGGAATTCCCTGACGTCCTCCTGATTTCCTTGTCATATTTGGGTGGACCTGACAATTGAAGATATGCCAGGTGGTTTAAAAGACATATTTGAAATGTTCTTCAGGCAAAATTTGTTGTTCGAAACGTCAAACACATTCTGAAGAGCAAATAGGGGTGTTTAGACACAATTGTCCCTAACGCTTTTGCCATTTTCTCTGATATTTCCCGGTTTCCCCGGTATTCCCTGACTGTGGAAACCCTGAAATGAGCTTGTGTAGTAATTTTTAAGAGATGCATTTTTGAGAAGCGGAGAGAGTTCACTTAATTCACAGGAATTTTAACGGGTGTTTTAGACGAGCTTATTCCACGTTGGCACCCCTGCACGGACTGTAAGTGCTCTTTTTCCGAAATATAACGATTAAAACGTTGAAGACGTTTGAAAGGCAGAATTTGATCAGTCGCAAAGGAGAGAATTGGCACAAAACAGAGAAACATGGCGCACGTGTGTTGATGCAGTTATGAACTTTCAAGTTCTTGACACTACTTAAAAAAATGAAATCCTCTCTCTCTCTGCACTAAGAAAACTCCGGTCGTAGAAGCCGTACTTACGGGCTATATAGACATAGCGTCCGCCTTCCAGTGAACTGATTATTGAAATTGATAGACAAAGCGATAGACAAAGAAGACATAGAGAGTAAGAAGTGACCCTATAGGTGGAAACGAGTGGCTCTTATAGACTAGGGGAGAAAATGATGGACTAATTATCGGGTCTCTCGTAGTTGCCGTTAGTTAGTCTATCACCCACGTCTTTTGTCCATTGCAACCACCGCTTCCACCAATAGGAACCCTCCATATCCTTTTTATCTTCTTTGTCTATTGCTTTGTCTATCAATTTCAATACTCAGCCCAAAGGCTCAGAGGCTGAAAGTTCCGGGCGTGACACTCGGAGTAATCGAAGCTACGGCTCCAGCACCTCGGCCTCTGAGCCCGGAACGGGCGGTATAATATAGCACGTAATTTTTTTTTTTTCAGTGTGGATCTGGTACCTCTGTTCATACGACAAGATCCCGCGAGTGTCCGTTTTCCTATGATTTCCTGATTGGATACCCTGTGCGGCGTTGAGGCCGGCCGGCAGAAAAGAGAGGGGGGCCCGAGGGGCGCGGCTCCCAGTCACGATGTAATCCTCCCCGTAGCTTGGACCTGGCTCTGATTCATAGCTCACCCGATGGGTTCTAGGTCCGCTCGTGGGTGTGAGGTGTGAATAAACGACCTCCCTCCGATCGGGCCGTGAAAACCTTCCGCACTAACACTACGGGCGTGCTTTGCGATGTATCGATTGATCTGCCATTCAACCCTACGGAAAAGGATCGATAAAAATGGTGTTCGCGAGGAACACGTTAATAATCGATTCTTTACCATAGTTTCAAATAAGGATTAATTGATAATCGATCATTTACGGTGCAATAATTGCCCAAAACTTTTCTGATTTTTGCATGTGATCGGGAGAAAAGTCAGTGAAATTATCTGTCAGAAATGCCGAATATTCTCCTGATAAAAAGTTATGTATTTTCTTCCCGGTTCCCGGTCTTCTTAGACTGTTTAAAATTCCCTGACATTTCCCGGTTTTCTCTGGCTTATTAAAATTCCTTGACATTTCCCGGTTTTCCCTGACTTTTTATAATTCCCTGACATTTCCCAGTTTTACCTGACATTATAAAATTCCCTGACATTCCCCGGTTTTCCTGATTCCCTAACTTTGGCAACCCTGTTCCCGTTCTTCCCAGACTTTTGAAAATTCCCTGACATTTCCCGGTTTTCCCTGAATTTTTATAATTCCCTGACATTTCCCGGTTTTCTCTGACTTGATAAAATTCCCTGACATTTCCCGGTATTCCCTGCCTGTGGAAACCATGACTGTCCCCTGGCCCTTCGGGCTGTGACCCGCGCGATCCCGCCAGACGGAGAGTTTCCCGGTTTCCCCTGACTGTGGCAACCTTGACTAGAGGGGTTTCCATTCGTACTAGTTTGCATAATTCAACTATTCGGCCGCGGAGCATTGCTTAATAATACGGGGTGGAGCATGGAACAGGGGCGGCGGTTGAGCTTACCTTGGGCAAGGAGGCGAGGACTTGCTGTTTCATGTTCCAGATGAACTGGTCCTTGGGGAACTGGAGGCATTTCTGGATGTTGAGTTCCGGCACGTGGATGCGGAAGAGGAGATAGCCGTCTTCGAGTGGGGAGCTCCTACTCCCCCCTCCCCCTCCTCCCACGCTACCCCCTCGACACTCCTCCCTCACCTCATCCATGACATACTAGCAGCTCCTGCAACACAACAGATACCAACGTCAGTGCATTCAAGTCTTGACTTTGTCAGTCGATTTATTTCGACTGAATCCGATCGATATCGATGTATAAGCAACATACATACGGTGCGATAAAAATAGATTGTTCACCATCAAATGGACGTATTTCTGTCAAACGGAACTTTATTCATTAAAACAGAGCCTTGAAACCCATAAGAATGTAAGCATAACAGGGCTCACTTCCTAATGCGCATTATTCCGTTTGGCGGAAATACGTCCACATTATAAGAAAAGAATATTGTTCCTTAAAAATTATCAGATGAATTGCATTACATTATGAATAATATTCCGGAATAATGTTCAGGAAAAATATACATGCACATAGTTCCGTTTGGCGGAAATACGTCTAAATTAAGAAAAGAATATTGTTCTTCAAAAATTATCACACTGGAAAAAAAAACACATTGGATCTAGAGCCCAGACTCTTGAAAAAATTGACAAGAAAAAATACTCTTGGTTCAATCAGATTTTTGCCTTAATCAAAAGGAAATCCGCTCAAAGTAAGAGGCTTGGTTCTTGATTTAAGCAAAAATCCGATTGAATCAAGAGTATTTTTTCTTGTCGATGTTTTTAAGAGTCTGGATTCTAGATCCAATGTGGTTTCTTTTCCAGTGCAGATGAATTACATTACATTATGAATAATATTCCGGAATAATGTTCTGAAAGAATATACATTGATTTTTTCACATAAGATCGATGACTTAAAAAAAGTTAAAGCTATTGCGAAGAAATACATTAATTATTCTGATACCTCGAGTTCTTACGGGCAAAAATGTGGCAAGGCACAGACGTTCATACAGCGTTCTTCCATGGAACGGCAGGATAAGTAAAAGCTTCCGAAGGAAGCTACCTGCGTATGTGGTATCATCCTTTCAAGCGAGGAAAAAAAGAGGATTAAAAAAGTCTTAGAAACGCGAGGGATACGCATTACGCCGAGCGAGAAGATGAAAGGAACGCAGGAGACGAATAGAAACGTTTGAGTATGGCCTCGAATAATTTCTCGAGCGAATCAAAACGAATCAAGGGGAGAAGCTCCTTTCAAAGTTACACCTTAATAGACGGGCAAACTTTACTTTGGTAAAGCTCAGACGGTGTTCGGCCGTTGAGACGAGTTTACGCTGTTGCCACGAAAGCACAAAGCTCAAAGCTTGGCGGCTCCTGGTACCTCATCATCTTGTATCTTTGCTTCTTCAATACTGCCGTGCTAAGGAAGTAGAGTAGGAGCAATGCGTGAGGTATCCTCCGTTTGGTACGCGCATTGTTCTATATTGTTTATATTGACGTTTCCCTCGCCATGATAAAGACCATAAAGATGTGAAAAAACACCAAACGCTCTCTACTGCTCTCATATTAAATGCTTTTAAAACCTTTTCGATCCATCAGAAGAGTGTAAAAAAAAGCATTGGTTCCTTTAAAAAGGGGATGGAGAAAAACCCGAGCGACCACTCCACAAAGGTCCCCAAAATACGGCGCTCAGATAAATAAACTATGAATAAAACGTCCATCACCAAAGAATAAAAGAGGAAAATATGGAGGGCCGGAATGGACAGCCGAATAAAATTACAAAAGACAGCTTTTCTGAACGCTCCCCTCGGAAACTCTCCTTGCAAACTTTTCAATCTTACCTCACGTCTCAAACTTTCCCTGGAGGCGAAGCAGATTGTCATGTCCATTCCCATCTCTCTTCTCGACTGGATATTTTGTAGAGTTTCTCAAACGTAAACCGAGAATCAGGATTTGAATGCAAGGTTTCCATAATTTCTTCATTTTCAACTTCCCTGAATTTCCTCTCACTTGTTTTGCTTTCCGCCGATTCTAAAATTTCCGGATTCCCTGACTTTTTCCGACCTTAGACCAAAACTTTCTATAATTTCTTCCGATCCATTTTGGCGCGTATACGTACTATACCGCATTTGCGATCGTTTCGACCCCCCACTCGATACAATAACCGAGTCCCTTAGTTCCTTACCGGAAAGTGACTGCCGCGAACTTCTGAGATTTTCGAAAGCGTGTATTAAGTATGGTATGAAAGAAAAGGAGAAGTTGCACGATTCTGAAAACACTGATATCGCGCTAGTTTCTTTTTCCTAAATGCGATCCATCACTGGAAAAAAAAACACACATTGGATCTAGAGTCCAGACTCTTAAAAACATCGACAAGAAAAAGTATACTCTTGATTCAATCAGAATCTAGCTTAAATCAAGAACCAAGCCTCTGAATTTAAGCGGATTTCGTTTTGATTCACGCAAAAATCCGATTGAATCAAGAGTACTTTTTCTTGTCAATGTTTTCGAGAGTCTGGACTCTAGATCCAATGTGTTTTTTTCCAGTGATTTATACATTTATTACATCCTTCTTTGTTGACAAAGTGGGTTCAAGAAAGTAATAAATAAAAATTCGAACAATAAACAAAGAAATAAAACATGAATACGCGTGCAAGAGGACGGAACCGATGGAATTGCCTGCCACCTCTCACCTTTCGTACGTGAATCAGAGTTAGGGTAATTAAATTTCATGGCGGGAAGCCGTCGGCCGTATATTTTCAGCGCGTGACATAATTTCATGGTAATTCGGCTTCGACCAACGCCAAAAGTGGAGTCGACTGCCTTTGACAAACTTGAACTTGAGCAGTTAAAACGGCTTCCGCATGTAAAATACATTTCGATGGCCCAAGTGCGAAACAACGCATCTCCATCTCACTTAATACTGCACTGAAAAAAAAACTCCGGCCGTGGGAGCCGTAATTACGGGCTATATAGAGCTACCGTCCGTTCCGGGCTCAAAGGCCGGAAATTCCGGCTGCTGGAGCCGTAACTTCGATTGCTCCGGGTTTAGAGGCCGAAACTACGGCTCCCACGGCCGGAGTTTTTTTTTCAGTGTGTCGCCCTGAGGAAGAACGCCGTATGAACATTCGAGAGTTGCCAAATTTCCTTCGATAAAATGTTCATTTTCGAGGAAAGTAAAAAACATTTTTCCTTGAAATTTTCAAGGACTTTAGGTGAAATTGCGAGCAAAATTGTCTGAAAAATTGGAAAGAAAATATTCATTAGTTTACCAAGAAATTCGTGTTTTATCAAAGGAAATTTGGCAATGCTTGGAGGTTCATATGCCGTTTTTCGTTAGCACGGCAGAATATCTCCGCATCTACTTTATTTTTTCGAAGAGAAATAATCCGACTTCACAGTTTTGAAATATAGGAATTTGAATAGAATATTCTGCTCACTGAGGAGAAAAATCTAAGAAGTTTCAAGAAACTGCGCTGAGTAGTTTCTGAAACGAAAAATGAAGTATGATGAGATAAGATGATATGGAGTCTGCGGAGACGCAAACGGAGATAGGTCGTTTTGCACCTCCGTCATCGATATTCTAAAAATATTGTGAGGGCATGAGCTGAATTACACAATATTTTTGTTCACGACTTCATCCGAAAAAATAAAAGAGTGGTGGAAAATTCGCAAATCGTTTTAGTACTTTGGAGGGGTACTTCCAATACTTAAAATAAATTGTTGAAGAACTGTAAACACTGTTCATAAGTTTTTCAAAATATAAGTGAAACGCAGTACTCGCAGTTCATGATCTCGCTCAAAATCACCGCTCCTCTATTATTTTTTCGAAGAGAAGCAAGATTCTACTAGTAGAGCACAAAAATCAGTGAAGTTTTCTAGAGATTAAGTTGACTGGTTTTCGGGGGCAAAAATAATGTATGACAGGCAGTCCGCAAAGTCGCATACGGAGATACGTGGTTTCACACTTTGGTATCAATTTGCATCGGAAAAGTATCGTGCTTCAAGGACATCTGGAATTTGGAAGACGTTCCAGAGGCGTCTAAGATCCAATGTGTTTTTATTCCAGTGAATTAAGAATGGTATGAAAGAAAAAGAGAAGTTGCACGATTCTGAAAACACTGAAATCGCGCTGGTTTCTTTTTCCTAAATGCGATCCATCAGTGGAACAAAAACACATTGGATCTAGAGTCCAGACTCTTAAAAACATCGACAAGAAAAAGTACTCTTGATTCAATCAGAATCTAGCTTAAATCAAGAACCAAGCCTCTTAATTTAGGCGGATTTCGTTTTGATTCAAGCAAAAATCCGATTGAATCAAGAGTATTTTTTCTTGTCAATGTTTTCAAGAGTCAGGACTCTAGATCCAATGTGTGTTTTTTTCCCAGAGCGTGGTATAATTTAAACACTTTAAATATAATGACTTTTTTCCATAAACTACACAGTTTCCAGGAAAATCGGCGATAAAAATCGTCCGTACCGACCTACATCATCAAAAAAGTCCAAGATGCCCGAAATGCAAACACCTCCTTTTCTCTCTATGGCATGCGCATGCCGCAGCTAAAACCGGGCGATTTGCCATCGCAGGCGCCGACTCTGGAAGCCGAAAATGGAAATCTAACGAGAGTGCATTCCTGGGCAGTCGTAAGTTGGAAGTTGAGAGATGGGTGCATCGGGAACCGAGCCTCGTCTTCCGGTCGCATGGGGCACCGATGCACCGAGCGGGGTCATTACTGCTGGGCA